TGTTACGCTTCCCGTACGCCAGATCGGCGTATAATTAGGTATTCTACAGAATGGAGTAGAAAAAACAAGTTAAAACGAAAATTGACATTGAGCTGTGTATTTCTTGACACAGATGAAAAATCTATCGAGAATCTAAAAGAAAAGTTTGGACAAAACCTGTTGTTTTTGGGGCATAGAATCCAAAGTTGTAATAGAAATGTGGGTTTCCATTTAACATTTCAAGGATGTCCTTTCCCCACCACATGTTATTGATTATTATTTTTTTTAATTTAGAAGCATTTTTTGTTTTTGGATCAATTGTGTAATTCTCGAGATATATCACCGTTTCGATACTTTTTGGACACTAGGTATATAGTCAATGCATTGTTAAAGTGCTTTCTCTAAAAAGTGCGCTCTTATTAAAAACAACGATCTTTCCTACCTAAATAAGTTCCGAAATTGCTAAATTATCGCTTTTATATCAAATGGTCCCTGTAAAACATTTCGTTTACGCGTCTATGAATTGCCGTTTGTAACCGGGCGTTATTTTTCACACATCAACTGCGTTGGTCACTAACCAGAACATGCCTACCAATATCGATCACTGTGATCACGATTTATTTTCGCAGAAACCTCAAAAGCGCATCGATATTATTACAAATGTTTGCGGTATTGTGTCACAACAATAGGACTTGGAGTCGTTCACGTCGAAGTAACCAGGCCCTCGTCTCTACAGATGTTCGTAACACCGCGCTGGTCCACATTGGGGGTTAACTACCCTTCTCCACTCCAGCGCAGCTGCCAAATCCGGCTATTTATTAAACATACGTGTTAATCTGGACCCCGCAAATTCCCGCTGCGGCATTGGTGTAGACAGTGTTTATTTATAAAGGGTGTCGCCGACTTTTGAACATTTCTTTTTCATTATTGGTTCCTGCCCATAACCATGTACAAATTATCTTTTGGCACTTACACAAATATGTAATAACATCACAAAAAAATCTAAGCTGAATATGCCAGCAAAAATTCGTTGATTCTATACGGTTCAACATTGATCATCATAATTTTCATTTTCATGTTGAATAATTTTAATACATTTCATGGAAAGCTTGAGTTTATCAAAAAGTTTTATGCACAAATAGTACAGTGTTTCCCTGTAGCGTTAATCAAAGAAATAACCATGTACATAACATGTCATCAGCTGTGTTTTTATTTTTGTAAATAAATAGTGGACGCTTAAGAATGTACAACCAAAAAGCAATTATTATTTTCAACCTTTGAAGGACTACTCTATAAGTGTCTACGTACATTTTGAACGAAAAAAACTCTCGGAATATCAAAATATCCTCCCCAGGGCACTATTCAATATTTCGATTACAATTCAAAATTCACAAAATGCAGTATCGTAATAGATCTTAGATTTAAATATTCAAAAACCACTTTGTTACTATATCCGTTACTGTAAGGTTTTTGTTGCAGATTATTAATAGAATTCCATGACAAAAATCAATCACTTGATATTGCTAGAAACCTAGTTTCCTTAGGCAACTAGATTTTTCTATACTAAAACGTGCGCTTTGCGTTGCCTAAAACTTGTCATAAATTTGTGTCACCACCATACATTTAATTTCAAAATTTTTGTGGATCACGATAGTATTGAAATTGTGTATATAAATAGTGAATAAGAACGTCCTGTCCTATGTTAATTTTGTTTTCTTTGGTTTCGGATTTTTTAAGCCCACCATCTTTCTGAATCACTACAAGTTGCTATGCTGCCATGTCCTCTTAGACGTTACGTTAGAATGTTATATACCTATATTTGTTTTAATTTTAGCTACGTCGACCCTAATAACTGCAGTAAAAAAAGGATACATATAACAATACAGCGATAATACATTTTTATTATAAACAAATAATCATCTAAAATAAAAAATATATTACCATAAACCGTCTTCTTAGATGGAATCTACACATTGGAAATGTAGTTTGTAGCAAAGTTAGAAGGTCACTCAGTAGGTTATTATATGGAGTCCCTGAGAACAACTTAACACTGCTATTCAAAAAAACCATAACCATAATTATGTCAAAATTTGTAACGATAATATAAAGCAGCGGTCGCCAACCTGTCGGTCGCGGATTTAACACAGCTCTCACAATGATTTTAATTTTAAAAATACAAACTGCAAAAATCGGAGAAGCTTCAAAATTCCACAAAAAAATCTAATTATCATAATATTCCTTATGGGTAGCTCATTGTTTATTCCAAAATTAACAAAGTAGCTAAACACATTGAAGAGGTTGACGACCACTGATATAGTGGTAATCACTATCCTTGTAGTTTCATAATACTGATTTGAAGTATTTGAGTCTATTCAATAAAATCCTTCGCTTTTCTATGGTATCAAACCTAGTAGGTATACGTTAAAAAAGGCTTTATAAATTATTGTTTCAATATTGTATGCGAGAAATTAGGGTAATAACATATATTTCACAGGAGTAGTAAATCATTACACAATGTTTTATTATTTTTGTGGTTTTTATTAAAATATTGTATATACCCGTATAATAGTTAATGGGGTAAATTTTGTTACAGCGGATTCGGATTATTGCATAATAATTAACCTAAATAAGTGTTCATATAGTATTATTAACTATTACTATTGTTATATTCAAATATTTATTACAATTTTGGATTGCAGATAGTTTTGCAACTTTTTTTTTACCGCGTAGTTAATATTTACTGTACTAGTAAAATTCAAAAGTAAACAAAAATATTTTTCGCAAAAATAAAAATGAATTCGTTTCTCCGTTGTTCGCATCGGCGCCTATGCGAAATGTGCCCTCCTGTAAGGGTCGGAACTACGCATATAGGGTGATTTGTAGTGAATTGTTAACACTAACATCTCCATTATTGTGCTACAAACCGCTTTCGGTATTTGATTGAGCGCGTCCAGAGATTAAGGGGGAGAAAATATGTATTTGTTGTGTTTGGCGTTTTTATTTGCAAAATATATTGATCGGCAAAAATCGGAGGTTTTCCTCACAGCCGTTTATCTACTATGCCTTTTATTTATGTGATGGGAACTTTTTTGTCGTCAATTTGATCGATCGGCCGTTGTAACGTAGCGACCGATTAACGTATTTTAAGTTTTGAAAAAAATCCCACATTTAATGGATTATAAATTAGAAACTTATAGTTTTGAAGAAAATAAATTGCGGTCTAGCTTTTACCAAGTATACTTTCTTATCGAGGCACAACGCTAGATACAGGGCGTACCAATCGATCTTACTAAATGTAACCGGATGTAATTAATCAAACTATAAGAGCCCCAGTTTTGGGCCTAAGAAGTTACTCAGTCAAATTGCATTTAAGACCTCTGTCAAAAAGAAAAGATTTTTTGATAGATAGATATAGATAGTGCTTTCGAGAAAATCAAAATTTGCTGCAAAACAAAAACGAAGAAGCCGTCATATTTTAAATGATGAAAATCAACTTGACATCTCCGTGCATTTTGCAAAGTTTCCTGAGACTTCCAACCGATAGTAATGATCCAAACATGTTTTGAATTGAAGGGATTGAAGACGTACACATTTTTACTTGTGCAAAAGTTATAAGAAGGATGTCATAACAAAACATTAGAGTTTTGTAATGTCTTAATGGATAGCAATTTTGCTAAAAATATTTTTTATAAAATTGTTTCGACAGAATCAGTATTTACTAAAGTAACCACCATATATGGCGCTGGAGTAGAAGGTATCGGTGTGCTGTGTGTCCTCAAATTTTCTTGATTTATACTGAAAAAAATTAATTTCGCTACTAAATCAGTGTTGCTTTCTTCTGAAGCACTGTGGTGGAAGTTGCTGTGTCATTTCTATCGTTAGGGCATACGTGTTTTGTTTACCGTGCGGTTGCTGTACACCTAACCTATACAATGGTACTGTTAAGGAATGATATAGAGGATATTCGGAAGATTGTTGCGGATCAAATTACCGCTACAATTCTTGGTAACGATTTTCAAGACCGACTTATTGGCTCTCTACTTGCCAAACTCGAAGAAAAAATTGAGAGGATTGAGAGCGAAGTGTCCAATTTGCGCAAAGAGGTGAATAGGATGGCGCAGGAAAATAAGAATTTAAAACAACGACTTGATCAGCAGGAACAACATAGCCGCAATCAGAATATTCGTCTTTTCGGTGTCCATTTCGAAAAGGATGAGAATGTTTTGAACACCGTAAAGAAAGTATTTCAACAAAAGATGAACATTACTATTGACAACAATGATATAAAAAACTGCTATAGAGTAGGAGCAAAAAATCTGATCGGAAACAAGCCGCCGGCTATTTTAATTCAGTTTCATAGTGCTGTGCAATGGTGTTAAAACATCGTAAAGCACTTAAAAACTCTGGCATGGTAGTTAAGGAAGGCCTTACCCAATCACGGTTGCACCTATTTAAAGTGGCGGTTAAAAAATTTTCCGAAAAAAGCGTGTAGTGTCTTAACGGCAATATTTACATTAAATGCCGTGGTGAAGCGTACCGTGTTCAGGATGAGGACGACATATACCAAATCACCCACCAAATCAAGGAATAACTGTATGTAGCTACTTTTCACTTCACTTCATAGCTATTTTTTCTGTCCAACTGTACAGAAATTAATTATGAATCAAATTATAACAGCTTACTTTTTTTTCTTCGTTATTAATCTTAGTGATAAGCAATGTTAACCTCACATTTCCCACCTTGTTAGTAAATTCTTTACTACCATGAGATTAGTCAATTATAATATACTTTTCGAAGAATAACTTTTATATCTTGTAATTTAGGTATGTCACATATGCCACATATACGATACAGGCTTTTTTCAGTATTTATATGTTTCTGTATAATACACGAACCTCAAATTAACTTTAGGTTACATGCAGCACCAACTTTATTGGTTTTGGTACCCTCGTACTTTTCACTGTTTGTTTGAATTTGATAACTATTTCCTTCCTTCTTAACTTTCCCTCCCTTAGTTCTCAATGGATCTTAATTTTTGTGCCGCACATGTTAATGTAAGGTCCTTGCTGGCCAATTTTGACTCTTTTCTAAGTCAATTATTGAGTAACAATTATGATATCGTTGGTGTATCTGAAACGTGGCTGGGTGCGGGGGTTGATCAGATGGTAGGCATTCCGAATTATAATTTTCTGCATCACAATCATCTGGACAGGCGCGGAGGCGGTGTGGGAGTGTACGTTAAAAATAATTTAAGGTGTGAAGTTTTGGCCTCTGCTTGTCTTGAGCATATTGAATACATATGGGTTAAAGTACTGTTAAATAATCGAACCTTTATGGTGGGTACTGTTTACAGGCCACCTAATACTAACGTATCACAATTTTTTAATACCCTTGAGGAATCCTTGTTTAATATATACTCAGACTATGATAACTTAATATGCTTTGGTGACTTCAATATCAATATGCTTAATTTAGATACTGATCTTGGAACTAGATTAACTTCTGTGTTTTCTACTTTCAATATAGACCAATATGAACAAGAACCTACCCGCATTGCATTAAATTCTATGTCGCTCTTAGATTTAATATTTACCAACGTAAAAAACGTGTCTGATGTAAGGGTTGTCGACAATAACATCGCTGATCACTTTTTAACATACATAAAATTCAGTCTAGACTTACCAGATAATGAACCTGTAAGTTTTTATTATAGATCATTAAAAACCATTAATCTTCAGGAGTTTAAGAGGGATCTACTAGATTTACCGTTAAATAACTTACTTTATTTTTGTGACATTGAACAAAAGCTAAACCTCCTAAATACTTGCATATTGGAACTATTTAATAAGCACGCGCCGTTAAAACGCTTTAGAAAGAATGAAAACTATAACTATGCGCCTTGGATTACAGAAAACATAAGACTGCTACAAAAGCTGAGAAATAAAGCGCTAAAAAAATTTAAACTGACTAAACAGCACATTACGAGTATTACAAACAATTACGTAATTATACAAATTCGGCCATTAGATCAGAGAAAAAAGCTTATTTAAGAACTAAGTTTTGTCATGGTAATGCCAAAGAGAAATGGAAATAACTAAGGAAACTTAATGTTGTAAAACGTAACAGGGGTACTTTGCCAAATCACTTAGACAATGTCGATCAAATTAATAATTTCTTTATAAACAGTGTGGAAAATAATGATAGCCCCAATCAAGAACTGCTGAATTTTTATTATAATAATAGGTTAAATGACAGAACGGATCACTATGACTTTGTATTGTCCACGGAAGATGAGATTCTCAACATTCTGAAAAATATAACATCTAAAGCTACGGGCCATGATGATATAAATATATCATTAATACTTCTTTGCTGTCCATATATTGCCCCATACATTACGCATATAATAAATGAGTGTATCTTAAATTCGTACTTTCCGTCAACATGGAAGCGGGCACCAGTCATCCCCATACCGAAAATAAACAATCCAAGCGAATTTAGTCACCTGCGGTCAATTAGCATATTGCCTGTTCTATCTAAAGTACTTGAAAGAATTATGAACGATCAAATGGTAAACTTTTTAAATTCTAATCATATTCTACCAGAGAAACAGTCTGGTTTTAGACCGAATCACAGTTGTGAGTGTGCCATGCTGGACATTACTGATGACATTTTTAGAGCGACTGACGATGGAAAGATAACGGTTTTAATATTGTTGGATTTCAATAAGACATTTGATATGATAAATCATTCAATTCTCTTGGCCATTCTCCATTACGTTGGTTTCCCGAAGGTGCTCAAAAGATTCCGTGTTCCTTTTTGTCAGGTCGGACACAACGGGTTGTCTACAATCAGCAGCAGTCATCGTTCCTAGGTGTTCACATGGGTGTTCCACAGGGCAGCATTCTTGGTCCCTTGTTGTACACTATTTTTACTTTTAACTTCATTGGAGCCCTCCACCAATGCAACTGTCATTTTTATGCGGATGACACTCAAATTTACTACTCATTTTTTCCTCAAGAAATAGCTACCGCGGAGGATGTCATCAATTTATCAAATTTTTTTAACATTGCAACAGATCACCTCCTAAAGCTTAACCCTAATAAATCTCCAGTAATACTCTTTGGAAATGATAATCATTTGACCCATGCAAAGTATTACATAATAATTGAACTTAATAACATAAAATTGCCACTCTCTGAGTCATGCAAAAGCTTGGGTCTCACTCTTGATTCGCAGTTGCGGTTCAGAAAACATATTACTAATAAACTAAGGGTTGCCTATGCTAATTTAAAATTAATGTATGGCAATAGACATGTACTTTGTCAGGGAACTCGTAAGTTGCTGTGTGAATCACTTGTTCTGTCACAATTTAATCACTGCAGTGCTGTGTACGGACCGTGCCTGGATGAGTCCGATCGTTACCGTGTCCAGAACTCCTGTATAAGGCTAATTTATGGGGTAAGAAGGAGAGATCATATCTCACATTCTTAAAACAAAATTACGTTTTTATCTTTACAGAAAAATTACTCTTAACATATCAATACACAATTTGAATCTGCGTGGAAGACACCGACTAGTTAAACCCCGTCACCGCAAAGAATTATTTAAAAGATTATATTCCTTTAATATAGCCATTTGCATTAACTCTATTACTAATTTCGATATTAATCAGTCCAATTCAACGTTTAGGAATAATTTGAAAAAGCAGTTGTTACGTACGCACTAATATTAAGCTCTACTACAAAACATGTGCCCCTTTCCTTTCCTTTTCTTCCCCCTCCATTTCTTCTCTTTTCTTTTCTTTAGAATTATGTGTATCTACGCTTGGCGCTTTCAAATAAATTCTATGAAATTTCTTATTATTATATTTTCGCCGTTAAATTGAAGCCTGAACAGTATCTAGAACTTCTAGATGGCTGCCCTAACATCCATTATTTCACTTATTTAACTTTGGTTATGTAATTATTTCTATGTAACTTTGATTGGTTATAACAATAAATGTATTATTATTTTTATTATTATTATTATTATTATATACCAGAAAAAAATGTATATTAGAGCAATATATATGACCATGTATTGGTCAAAATAGCAGGCACATACAAAACTTGCTGCAATAATTCTCTGTTCTTATTTTGCTAAGCATAAGGTTAGCTTAAGAATTAATTGGTATTAAATATTAAGTACTAATGCAAATAATCTCGTGTGCAAAATAGTAGGGCCATTTTTATAAAGCTCGATGGTTTTTTTTTGCATGTTTCTTCCTCATATTTTGTTTCATTACAAATGTTTCAAAATTTACAACTATCTTGGTTATGGGCGTTATGATTTACCCTTGTAAACTGCCTTGTCAGAACCCTATTTATAAATATTTTATTTTTTAATTTATAATAAGGAAGTAAATTAATAATTAGCAATATTTTGATAACAAAATTGTGTGATCAAGTGCAGTTGGTCATAAGATAATATATGTACTAGTTTTTAATGATGTTAATTGGGCGCACTTCAAAATTCATTCTAAATTTGAGAAAGTTAGCAATTGGTCTGCCTGTTACTACGATCCAAAGGATCAATTCCGACTCTCTTCACAGCTGTAGAGCTGTATCTGATCAAACTTCACGGCTTCGATAGAAGCTTCTTGGTGAACCTCGTAACCTCTGATTTGACTACGCCTTTGATACGCCTTGACATAGCAATTGTGTCGTTGTTTCCCCTTCTTTTTGTGCTTAGGTACAAAAAGAGGAGGAAGGTCTGTCGTAATTTTGGTCGATGTACTTTTGAGAAATTCCTTTTAATATCTTTTTGCTGGCATGCCTCTCCGGGATTCTCCTTCCATCCATTTTTTCCACCCGTTCTATCTTATTTAACTTGATTTTTGGTATGATGATTACTAGAATCATTGACACCATATGTGCAAAAGTACAATAATAAAAATATAAAGTAATGATATAAATGCGAGGTGTGTTCAAAAAGTAAGACGACTTTTAAGTTTTATCAAAAAATATTTATTTATTTATCAAAATTGTTCAAAGTAATCTTCCAGGTATAATACAGTTGTGCCAACGTTTTTTCCAATCCCCGAGGCGCTTTTGGTATGCACTTTCTGGTATAGCCTTGAATTCTTTCAGCGATTCTTTCTTTATCTCCTCAATCGTTCCAAACCTCCTTCCTTTCATGGGTTTGGGAAGAGGAAAAAGTTGCAGGGGGCCAAATCGGGTAAATATGGTGGTTGAGGCATAGTTGTGGTTTTGTTTTTGGCCAAAAAGTTAGATTGCCATTTTATCGAAGTTGACGTGCTTTTTTCGGTTTTGGCGATTCTGGGTAATCTTCCATTCTGACGACTAAGCCTTGGTTTCGACATCATAACCATATACCATATATAATATATAAGATTCGTCACCAGTTTTGACCTTTTTAAGCATAGCAGGATAATCATTGACGTCGTTTAACAGCTCTTGAGCGATGCTCCTTGGACGGTTCTATTATTCAAAATTAGGCAGTTTGAACGGTACAAGCCAATAGAGATGTCTTCAGCCACTTGTGCAATAGTGATTCGACCATTTTTCAACACCATTTGTTTCCAGAGGGAGGTTCGTCATCTGCCTCTTCTCGGCCATCTTGGCACAGCTTGTAATTTACAAACCATATGCCGTTGTCAACATTTAAAGTCTTTTGCAGCACTGTATTCCATTTTTTACAAAAAAAAATTGCAAATTTTTTGTTCTTCTTTTTTGAAAGCAGTCTAACGCTTATGTCTCACAAAGGAAAATAAACATACAAACTGGTTGAAACTGTGAACATATGTTAGGATATCAGGACATGTGTACCAGGATATCAAAAAACATATATATGTTCAGGTTAAATTCAGTAACGAAATAATGACAACAAAATAGTGTGTTTTGCTAAAATCATTTATTGCTATGATGAAAGTCTAAAACGCTTCTAATTTTTTTTGTGAGCCTGTGTTCATACTCATCACATTCTGTCCAGAAGTGCGTAATTGTCCTGTATGAACGGCAAGTTTTTCTAGGATAGTTTATAAGCTCATAAGAACCATTTGAACTTTAATGAATACTTCATTATTAAAATTCCACGGTAATGAATTTCTCCAGAAGACTAAATTTTGATACCCTATCACACACAAAAATTTCCTGCACAAGAGTTACCACTTTTGGCAGTATTGGTGGAACCGAGAATTTTATTTTTTTCGCTAGTACAGAAACTGCTTCGATATATCATTGATTACGAGCTTGATATTAACAATGGGGACGTATTGTAGATGCCAGCTATTTTCGTTGCTTCTGCTTCGCCTTTTCTAATCTCCCTTTTTCAATATGACAAAGGGCCAAACCTTTTAGTTGCACTTTAGCGGTATCGGAGCCGCCAAAAAAAAGGCTTTCACTAACTTTTTGCTCGATAAAAATCGAACAGTTATTGTAGAAAAGTATACCAGCATGATCTAAACCGTGTGCGTTTAGAGTAGGCATGTTAAGGGTAACGTGATACTTTGTTACAAGGGGATGACTGTTAATTCGCCACAAGGAACTATTACTTCAATTCCCTTCCCGACTGCGTATATCGGCTACACAATGGGCCGTTTGTGTGGTAGTGGTTGAGCTTGTTCTGAAATTAATGTAGCGCAAAATCTCATAGATGAAATAAAATCCTTTACATGTTGCTAAGATGCAGTTTCTTAATACTCAATTCTTAGAACTAAAGAACGAAAAAGAAGAAATAATTTACCTATAGAATTGTGAGCTCAAAATATCAAGAATTAACCCGAATCACTTAGAATAAATTTTTGACTCTATTGGAGTATACTAGTTTTTAAAAAATATGTTACAAATGTCAAATGGATTCGCTTATGACATTCAGACCATCTGATTTCCGTAACCCTAGTCGTATGTGATGTGATGCGTGATAAAGCAGGATATAGTTTAGCAAATTTAGTATTAGATGAACTCAACATTGAGGATCGCCGTGGTTTTATAGAAGTGACCATAATCGGCACTACCACGTTTGAAAAGCTTCCTTTCAATGTCGGTAGTAATTTAAAATAATAATTAACGTCCGATGGTTTAAAAGTACTGAGCAATAAAACATCCTGTATTTAGTAAGTATCTACTCGATTTTGGATAAGTTCTTATATTTTGAGCACAAGATTCAACAGTTTATGCATTTCCAATTACTAATGATTCACCGTGTATATCGTTATATAGACACCACAGATGTTCGCTGAGTGTGATAAGGATGAAGTAAGACCGAGTCTGAGTGAGTGGCAGAATTTCTATTTCTGTAGTTGTGATCGTTTAGGCTTAGCTTTTACATTATTAAAATTATCATCCTGTCGTCATAAAAATGGAAGGCGTTTAGAACACTATTAACCCCTTATAAGCATCACCAGTTGAGAATTGTTACTTCCTTCTAACTTATGCGTTTTACAAAATAAATCTTTTTGATTTTGGATATATTCCTTGATATATACTTTGAACCACGAAGATCCATTTTCAAATATCCAAACAGATAATGCTGGGGCCCACATCCGCACAGCTTGTGAAAAACTATGAGTGTAGATAGATGGATCTTATGTTTAGTTTTTAAAGGAATTACTGCCCAATCCCAAAAGACCGTAGTCGTCACCTTTCGTCGATTTTTTTTGGAATTGTCTTACAGTTTCATTTTAGTAGTTTTTATCACTAGGTTTGGGATAAATAAGTAGTTCCAAACACGATCGCTCACGTTCGACACAGAGGTGCGTTGTTTTTAACATTACAAAGATTTTTGGGAACCCATCTTGAAACGAGTTTATGCCAGTTTTTGCAATTAACAGACTTTTTTCACACTGAAAAACATTTTGTTCATTCAATGACG